AATGACAAAACCCACTCTCTTCCACACACATGCCAAGAATGTAGTGAGATGTACAAGTATTAATAATATCTACAAAGCCCAATCAAGTCAATTTGTCAAACACCCTGAGTGACTCTGAAATGGAATAAGAAGAAGTATGGCTCTATTGTACTTAAAAGGTAATGATAACTGATATACAATAGTAGATACATTACTGAATGAAAGAACAGAGTGCACAGCAGTGTTCACAATGTGGTACCATCTGGGGGGAAGGACAGGGAACGTATATATGCATGTCTATATACATGGAAGGACAGGCATAAAGCTAATAATAGGGCTTATCTATAGAAGAAAAATTAGAGAAATAGGAAAGGAGTTGGGGTTAGAAAAAAACTTATTTTTCATAGTTTTTTTTTTTTGTTTGTTTGTTTGCTTGTTTTTAAGCAAAAGAAGTGATAAATAATTCGGTTTACTTTAAAACAGAAAGAGTTTTCCAGGCAGGACACACTGGCTCACACCTGTAATCCCACCATTTTGGGAAGCCAAGGTAGGAGAATCACTTTAGCCCAAGAATACAAGACCAGCCTGGGAAACACAGTGAGATTCCATCTCTACAAAAAAATAATAAATACATTTAAAAACTGTCCGGGCATGGAGACACACACCTATAGTCCTAGCTACTTGGGAAGCTGAAATGGACAGATGGCTTAAACTCAGAAGATGGAAGAGTGTGAGCGATGGTCACACCACTGCACTTCAGACTGAGTGACAGTGATATCCTGTCTCTAAAAAATGTTTTTAAATAAAAAGAAAGAGATAGTTTTTCATAAGATATAATCTTACTTCATCCTTATAACTAGGTATCAAAAGTATTATTATTTCCCAACTTGGCAGCCACATACAGGTTAAATAAAATGTCAACATTCCACAATCTATAACATGTCCTTCTACCTACGTTCAGCGCTCATTATGTGCCACCTGCTCTGTGCATTTTTATTGAGGCTTCTCCTGACTCACTCTCTGAAACGAAGAAGCTTCAGTCAAGCAGAGGGTGTAAACTAAACAGAGTGAAAGTACTCGGACCAGTTTCAAATGTTCCTCACTCTATGTGTGAATGTTTCTATATGCCACTATTGACCAACCCTTTTGGCTTCAATTAAAGGCTATCTCATGTGCTTTCTCCAAGCCTTAAGCTCCCGCCTAAATACATTCCACAATATCCTCTAAATAGGAAACCTACTTGAGTCTTAAATGTCTCCTCAATATCAGCGCTCAATGTGCTCCACTTATCTGCTTCTTGAAGAGATTCAGCGGCAAGCTGCATCCTGGACTTCACCTGGTCGATTTCTACCAACACCTGAAAAAGAAATGAGGGGTAAAAATGAAGTAGAAGGTCCCTTTCCTCCATCTTCCATCAGTGACTTGAAAGGTATTATGGCATGCTCCTATCTTTAGAGAACTCCTATACCCCTAAATACGAATCACCTAGCTAATTTGTTCAGCAGGTGCTTAAGAGATGAATCAGCTAAAAGAATCAAGCAAAAGAATGGTTTAAAGAGAATTTTGCGTAAGGCTGGCTTTCCACAATCTTGTTATGAGAGCGTACACCTTCCAAAAACAAGAATCGATGTTTAGGACAAGAGCCAAAATACCTGCATTGATTGAGATGTGTCCTGTTCAAATTTTTTAATGTCTTCCTTGACAAGAATCATTTGTTCTTTAAGAAAAGATGCTTCCTGTTTTAGGGCTTCAACATCACGGAGCACTTTGGGCATGTTCTGAAGAGCTTGGAGACTTGTCTCTGTACCAAAAAAAAAAAAAAAAAAAAAGAGGACCAGTCATCAGTGAAAAATATGCAACAAATCTGAAAACGGAAAGGAAATTTTCCCTAACCATTGACCACAGTTTTTGGAGCCTGCAGAAGATATCTGGCCATGTCCTCCCCAGACTTATGGGTGAGAGCCATGTGATTTAAAAGGGAATGAACTACAGGGCACAGTGGCACTCCTATATAGTCCCAGCTACTCAGGAGGCTGAAGTGGGAAGACTACTTGAGCCAGGAATTATAAGCTGTAGTGCGCAATGCCAATCAGGTGTCCTTACTAAGTTCTGAATCAATATGGTAACCACACAGGGGTGGGGAACCACCAGAATGCCTGAGGAGGGGTGAGCAGGCCCAGGCTGGAAATGTAGCAGGTCAAAACTCCTGTGCTGGTCAGTAGTGGGATGGTGCCTATGAAGAGCGATAAGAGCCATATCACTCCAACTTGGGCAACAAAGCAAGAAACTGCTTTTTAAATTAAATTAATTAATTTTCAGAAGACCTTTAATTTAATTTCCTGTCACATAGGCTGGGGTGCAGCGGAGAGACAATAGCACAGTGCAGCCTCAAACTCCTGGGCTGCAAAGGTCCTCCTGCCTCAGCCTCCCAAATAGCTGGGACCACAGGCATGTACCCCCACACCTAGTTAAATTTTTCCAATTTTTTAAAGACAAGGTCTCACTATGTTGCCCAGGATGGCCTTGAATTCCTGGGCTCAAGTGATCTTCCTGCCTCAGCCTCCCAAGTTATTATGGCATGAGCCATCACACCATAATTAATATTTTTTAAAAAAGGAGAAATGATCCATCAACCTGACCCAAGACGAATTATTTGCTACCACTGAATGAAATCTTAACTCCCTTTGCAAGGAGGAATGAAGAAATCTGGCACTGGGCGAATGCTAGTTAATGGGTGAATGCTAGTTAAGTACCAGGGGCTTTATATACATTCTATCACTCAATGTCTATGGCAACACTACAAGCCACTTTTTACTGAGAAGAAAATTAAGGCTCAGAGAGATGCAGTAACTTGTCCAAGACTTCACAGAACTAAAACCAAGCTTTATGTTTGTCTGGCCCCAAAACCTGTTTTCCTTGGTCTTTTTCCTTCTTCCTCTGTTTCCATATTCTTTTATTTTGTTGGGCTTTTTTCAGAGTTATATTTCTGCTAACTCCAAAACTTCTAGGAATATGCTTGACTTTTCTTATAACTAGAGGAGGCATTACTTCAAGGTACCACCCAATGTTGAGCAGAAAAAAGATGTATTGTATGAGTGGCCTTGGATTATGATTTCTGTTCCTACTATACGTTGAAATTAGGTTAAGAGGCCTCAAGCAGTGGCTCAAGCCTATAATCCCAGCATTTTGGGAGGCCAAGAAGAGACAATTGCTTCAGGCTAGAGTTTGAGATCAGTCTAAGCGATGCAGTGACATCCTATCTCTATAAAAATAAGGAAATAAAAGAAACCAGATTAAGAAAATCTTAGTACATATCCTGCCAAAATAAGTCATTGCTATGATTCACTACGTGACATCTCAGCAAACCCACTGGAGACATTCGTGAGTTACACTGCAAATGGGAGGCTCTTGTTTTGAAATTTCTTTTCTTTTTTTTTTTTTTTTTTTTTTGAGACAGAGCCTCAAGCTGTTGCCCTGGGTAGAGTGCTGTAGCATCACAGCTCACAGCAACCTCCAACTCCTGGGCTGAAGTGAGTCTCCTGCCTCCACCTCCCAAGTAGCTGGGATTACAGGTGCCTGCCACAACACCTGGCTATTTTTTGCTTGCAGCTGTCATTGTTGTTTGGCGGGCCCAGGCTGGATTCAAACCCTCCAGCTCAGGTGTATGTGGCTGGCACCTTAGCCGTTTGAGCCACAGGCACCGAGCCACTGGTTTTGAAATTTCAACTCCTGTGAAGACTTCCAAATGAGAAACTTGAAATTCTGGCCACTGAGTTCTCCCTGAGTTCTGATCCATCCTCAACCTAACCAAAATCTTGCTACAAAAGCAAGAATAAGTCTCTCCCATGCTTTCCCCTAATGCTGGGTCAAATTATCTGCAAACTTCTGGCTGCTAATGTTTGCCATGGTTTTAAGTGATATAATGTATGTAAAGCCTTTGGTGCATAGCCAGCATTCACCCAGTGCCAGATTCTTTCATTCTTCCTTATAAAGGGAGCTATGATTTCACCCTGAGGGTAATTAACAGTTCCCCAGGTGCTGTGGCTGCCATAATATAGAGCCTGAGATCAGAGTCCACTTTGTAAACCCAGATGTTTTACAAAGTTCAAGGGATTATGTGTCCATATGTGGCCAGAGCTGATGAGTTGGGGGCCATGGGAGCCAGGCTGGAGGAAACAAACACCTGGGAGTTTCCAATTAGTCCAGTGGCTCTCCAACTTGACCATGTTTCAACATCACTCAATGCTTCTCATTCTTTAGGTGTGATATGGGGCTCAAAATCTACATTTCTAACATACCTCCAAATGATGGTAGGACCTAGGACCACATGTTGAGAACCACTAACCTGTTCCTTCACTGCTTCTCTACTCAGCCTGAGGAGCAGGAAGGTAAACTGTACCCCCCAGAATTGAACTGCAGCAACATGGTACCATCCTTATGTGACTCATTGCCACTGTGGTCTGCATAGTGTGTCAAGAAAGGGGCACCCAGGCTCGGCGCCTGTAACTCAAGTGGCTGGGGCGCCAGCCACATACACTGGAGCTGATGGGTTCGAATCCAGCCCGGGCCCGCCAAACAACGATGGCTGCAACCAAAAAATAGCCAGGCATTGTGGCAA